TGATCCTCATTCCCGCTGCTTCACACTCGGCTGCGAACCGTTTCAGTGTGAGCTGGAGGCCTTCACTCACATTACCCATCTTTATATAAAACCACCACATAGGTGACTCCCGGCCTATTTTTTAACCTTGTATGTTGAATTTTGTGCTCTTCTCCATAAAAGTGAGGGTTTTCAAGAAAATAATATGACTTTAAAATAACCAAAAAAGTTCATGTTATTGCAAGGTGTGTCATCGAACAAATATTCCCAGAACAAACAAAATTGTTTAAAGTAATTCAGATACTTAGGAGCAATGCTAATTATTTACTTAAAATTTGGGTTGAAACTTTGTGGTACCTTTACAAATTTAATTAACCTATAAATTTAAGATAAAAATAAGTGATTGCAAGAGAAAGAATTCACATTATGACAAATATTTCAAAAGGAACAAAAGACAAGGGATTGAAACCCAGACAGTCACAGCTGGACTGCTGGTGATACAGAAATTCATGGGGAGAAGAGTGCACTGTGAGCTTCGAGCCACTGTTAAGATCTTCTTTAATTAATTTGTATTTCTCAAGTTTAAGTAAAAAACCTTTTTATCTGTTTAGCCACTGGAAAAAAACTAAATCAAACTTTCTCACCTTCAGCTGCAGACTACCAACTTGCGCAGAGGCTTCCAAATAATCATTCTCCACCTTCAGAACAGCATTTAAAGCACATAAATGAATCTCCCATAAACAAAAACATATAAAATCGAGGCTGAGTGAGCCGAAGCAGTTCACCGTACGTGCATTTAGCCACAAAACGCCAATCTTTTCTCAATGCCCCAATGGCATCCTTGGAAAGATTTAATTTTCCCTCAAGTGCCTGCCTCCCATCTCTTAGAAAAGTGTGCTGTCGCTTCTCCACAAGGTTTCCTCACTCGGAGGATACATCTCTCTTCAGTCTGAGTTCAAGTGTCTAATCTTCTGCGTCTCAAGGTCAGCATTTGAATGCACTCTTAAGGGTCTTGATTCAAACAAATGAGACAAGAAAATTAATCGGAGGCAATGCATGAAGTGTTGAGTGTGTGTGTGTGTGTAGAGGTATGAATGCAAATTACTATGTGTGTGTCCAACTGGAGTCGGTAGAGGGAGAGCTCAGCTGCTCGGGTCCTGGGCCCAACGGGACTGAACGAGGGATGAAAGCGAAGATAAAAGACAGCGAGAGAAAAAGTGAAAGAGGGAGACCGTGCACTGTGCAGAGCGGAACATTGTTCTCTTGATCACAGTCAGAAGGTTTCGTGTAAGTGTGTGTTTTTGTGTCTTTGCGCAATACCGTTTGCGTGCACACCCGCTCATAAATATATGGCTGTTTGAGTCAATGCCTGCGTTTCATGGCGTTTAAGACTTTCTCCAATAGAAATCACATGAATGTTAAAATTTCTTAAAGTTTACTTTAAAAAATTTGCAAGGAAAAAAACTACAAGGAAACCTCCTACCTTATTGTCAGTTCTATGTTCATTCTTAAATAGAGAGCTGGGTGGTGAAAGACAGTAGGAGGGGAACATTTTATCCCTGCCATCTATCCATCCCACCCTCCCTCCTCTCCTCTTTTTTTTATCCTCTTTTCCCTCACATCTATTATTCACCCCAGTTGGCAGCCAGGCACACACCTAAATAAACCTCTAGCTATGTCATCTCTCACTCCCTTCATCATGTTCACCTTTCATCAGCTCCACTCTTCTCTGTCTCCATCTACCTTCAGTAGAGGTCCATTCATTGAGAGATACACATATTTATATTTAATTTTAAACAGCCATCGGGTGAACACATAGGACAGAGGAACTTGGTAAGGTCTGACTCCTGATCTGCAGATTTCAGGAATGTGATCAAATATTTGCCTTAGCAGAGAGAGGTCAAAGGATATCTTTATATATATGGTGTTGCTCTGAATAAAATTACTAGACAGAGCATAAGTAGCATAAATAGCATAAGTAGAAGCTCGTGCTGCTAAAAAAAAAAGAGGCCGTGTCCATTGTTTGGAGACATTTTTGGCTTTAGTCACGAGGACCTCAAACAAAAAGAAAACCACAAGACAAATACTTTAGTCACAAAAAGTAATATGACCAATCTCCTATGGAGGACCACACACATCAAAATAAAGAATTTTATGCTTCAATAATGAATAAAATATGCGTTAGTAAATTCATTTACAAATTCATCTTTTATTTATTTAAACATTACTAAAGTCACTTATTATTTAATAATTTCATTAAAAATAAAAACACAATTTATAAATCAATATTTCAAAATGGATAATTCATCTGTTAATAAACATCGAAATTGAAAATGGATTTCATAAAAAAAAGAATTTAACTCCCAATAAAAAACTTATTTCAAAAAACAGTTCAAATTCCTTAAAAAAAGAGAAACAAGTAAATGGGTTCAAAAATCAAAGATTTATTTCTGACATTTAAAATGATGATTCCAGTCCTCATTTTCAAATCCATTTCCTCACTGTGTTTCCCTTTCCTGTTAGCTCAGAGATTAACTATTATATTAGCATATAAGCAGTTTTGGTATTAACTACTGGATTAGCTAACCCACTTCGCAATTCCGAGACGCTCCCGGTCCTAGAAAAAGCAATGAAAGGAGCTTTCTGATTGGTTATAGAGATACATGGTAGCTGTCTGGATTTTTCTACACGGTTGTTTGTGGCGATAGCATTGCATTGCTAAGAAGTGTGTGTGTGCTTGTACAAAGACCATTCAGCCTCTATATATGG